TGCTACATTTTTTTATAAATTGAGGTAAAAGTTCCCATTCATTCCACTATTTCATACTTTAAACAACTTTTTACAATTATTTATTGGTGAATTTACAGTGGCCAATCAAAAGAAAAAATTAAATTGCTGATTACACTCAAGTTGCTTGAGAACTTAGATCTTAACAAATACCTATTACTGAAGTCCATACAGATGGCTTTTAGTTTCCCAGGAGATGTCAAGAAGTGATGAAAAGCATGAACTACAAATGTACCCCGCCTTTCCCCCATGCTAACCTACGGTATTTTGCACTGACAAGGCCCCACTGCCCTGCCAACATGCTGTTTGCTGCAGCTACTCTGGGAAGGTTTTTGCTTCCTTGAGCTGCCAACTCATACACGGGTGAAATCAGGTCCCACGGGGGCCCTTCCATTTGACTGTTGGTGTATTTTTAAAAGTAATACCTCACTGCATTTAGGAATAAATGAGTAACCCTGTAACCAATGTTTAGTGTAATGTTTCTTGGCATTGAAAATGAATAAAACTGAATTGATTCTATGACATAAATGTACCACTTTAAACACTTATACTATTGCTATAAGTCAACAATGTCACATCTCCTATCACCAACTGTTGTTGGCCAAGTCTAAATTCCTGCTATGCTTCAAGGGTGTGCCATAGAATTGTGAGACTGACTTTTAGTATTAAAATAAAGTTATCAAATTGTTAGAAATTTTGTTTTTCATGAGAAGATGATTTTAAAACCAAACTTGGAATCACTGTTGACATACTTTAATAACAGAACAAAGTGAAAGAAAACTAATACAAAAAAAGGGATTTTTGAAACATCTTTAATAAGTACAGAACTTACTGATTTTAACTCCATTTTAACTAAGTGACTTAGGATATTATATTTTTGCTTTCATTTGAAAAGCAAACTTCAAAAGGATTTATTTTCTTATCTGTTGAGTATGTTATCCATAAAAGGTAAACAGAATCACTTAGTTAAAGATGCTTGAAAAGGGATTCGGGTAGCTAACAGAAGTCTTTTCAGTTTTATACTTATTAAATGATCTTCCTGTATCTCCTGTATTCCAAATAAATACATAAGAAATAATAAAACAAATTCACGTGCAAGATGAAATAGATGATCTTTAAGAGTAATTTCACTGAATTAAAACTTTCTGTGTGATTATGACTTTTGAGCTTTCTACAGTAGGATAAATGAGATAATTTCATCCCCCTTTTTATGTTACATCTTTGTTAGAAATGAACTTCATATTTAATTAGGTGCTTTTGAATTCTTTTTGGGAAATATACTGGCACTTCTCATTTTGTTTTTTGTGTTTGCTGCATTAATATTACTTAGCGATGAAAGCCAAAACAAAAAAGTATAAGCCAGGAAAAAGAATCTCAAGAAAAATATACTGCTAGAAATTAAATTACATATTTGAAAGTTAAAAACTTGGAGAACTAAATATTTACTAAATTTCTTAATGACAAGAATTATTTTGCTTGAACTAAATCTCTGATAGCTAACATTTCTCTGAGGATATGTAAAAGAATCAAAAATGTTGTTAATAAAAAATGCCTGGTAAATGGGAGCTAATTTCTTCAACTTTACCTGAATATCTGGTAACCAAGCACTTTGAATAATAAACTGAAATCTGTACAATTATAACTAATTTCATTGAAATAGGATCTAGTATATAATTAAAATTGTAATTGTATGACCCGTTTTTTTTTTTTTTTTTTTTTTTTTTTTTGTGGATTCTGTAGGACATTTGTCATCATACTTGGACTCACAAAACCTGTCAAAGAATATGATAAATTTGGCTTTGGTGTGACCATTTCACAATGAGCTAAATGTCCAGTTTCCATAATTCTTATAGTCCAAAGCTATGTGTTTACCATGGCAAATTTGAGTTTGAGTTATTTGGATCATTTTCTAATGTGAGCCATAAAAATAGATAGCATACATGCTTAAATGTACTTTTTTTGCATTTCTACAACCTGAAGACCATTTTGGTTGAAAAAATAAAACTTAACAGCCCTTAATTTGTCATGTGGAATCTGATTCTATGTGCTTTTTATTACCTCCATATATTTATCTAAGTGAAACATAAAATGGTTGTAATAATGGAGAATTTAAAGTAGCTTTTGCACATGAGCCGTAATGCTAACTAATATGGTGAATAAAGGCTGAATGTAAATTCTTGGAATTTCTGTTTCTTGTGACGTGTTTGCTAAAGCAAGTATATCCTGGTTAACAGACACAAGCTCCACATCATCCTTATTAATCTATGAAGAACATTGATGGGAAAAATGGAAAAAAATAGGGAATAATCATTTGTATGCAACCCAAAGCCTCATATATTTATTTAATTTTCATACTGCAACACACTATACATTAGATCACAGAATCTCTGAAAATAAAAACCCACAATCCTTTTCATGCTGGAAGAATGTTCTGATATTCCCATGCATGCATTCAGAAATAACCTAAGTATGGCATAAATCCATATAATCAAATATCACCAGTTCCTAGTGACTCTACCTCATTTGATTTTTGAATTGAGCCTCAATTCTCTATTTCCCTTGCCACTTGGTTTAAGCCTTCAGTTATATTTCATTTGGACTATTTTAATAGGCACATTTCTGTCAACAACATCTGCATTTCAGCATTCCAGCCCACTATTTCATTTCAGCTATACTTATTTACCCATAAAACAAAACAGGCCATGCCACTCCACTGCTAATAAACCTCTGTCAGCTTCTTATTAATAATTAAGGTCAAGTTCAAAACACTTCACTTGGCATAAATGTTCTGAACCAGACCTTACCATACATGTTGTACTCTGCACTGTGTACTCTTCTCATACTGCACTCTTAAAGATGCCCAGCACTTGCCTTTTCTTCCTTCTCTGTTTGCCTTCTACTAATTCAATAGAATATCACTTTCTCTTCAAAAGCTTTCTGAACTGCTCAAAGCAAAATTATTTGAATCATTAAAGTGTGCTCCCACAATACTTTGCTCATCTTTCATTTAATGAATTAATTTGATTATTATTATTTTATACGCCCCTAATCTTATACTGTTCTGAGCTCCTCGGAGACAAAGATATCTGTGCTTATATTTATATCTTTAAAACTTAATACAGTAGCATATGGAAGTGACTGTTCTCATTAAACATTTGTTGAATGAATGAATAAATGAGTGAGTTAAACCAGGAAAGTCTGGAGAAAAGACCAAGACAAAAATTTTATTAGAAAACCTACTGAATACAGAAGACAATTTCTAACAGTCATGAAACATCCACTGAAGATGTCTTGAGACCACCTCATACAGACCAATAGCTTCCTCTCAATCTATAGAATTATATATTTTTCATCAGAATGATGAATCCCCCAAATATTTTTAATTTTATGTAACTTCATTCAGTGTGTAAATTTATAAAAGCTATTCTATTCTATAATGTAGATATTTGCATTAATTTAATATAGACTTGTATATAGACACAGGCCCACAGATCTTGCCATTAAATGTTTACCTCTGCTCTATCTAACTAGCTATCATCAATTTATATCTACTCACATACATGAAATTAGGTCATAACCTAAGGAAAATATTCTCTGGAAAAGGATTCATTTTCATCATATGAAAACTATATTGGTTTTCAGATTACCGGCCTGAATATGGCTGATACAGGATGGGCTTATGAAAATTTTGTAAGCAAATAAAACTTTGTATGGACATAAATATTATTGAATATGTCTAGATAGACAACAAAATATTACTTTTATGTTTTGTAATTTCATATCAGAGAACTCTAAGCAACATAGCATGATAATAATAAGCACTATACTATGTTCCATGTCATTTTTCAAACCAATAATAGGGTTGAATTAAGTAGTCTTGCTAAATGTCTTTTTAATTGTCAAAATGTTTTACATTCTAAACAAGAGGCAGATATCAATATATATATAAGTCAAACAGAATAACTTTGATGTGAGACATATGTTTGAATGGCATTAAGAAACTTTCATTCTGTTTTGCCTTTATGTGTGAAAACTTGTATGTCATTTGACCTGTATTTTCTTCTAATTGAAAGCATGATACCTTATTTGAATTATGCATAATTAAAAACTGCATCTTTTCATAAGAATTATTTTTAAATCTAATACTGGGTAATACAAAACTCTAGTCAACTTTCATAAAATTATATTAAGTGATCATAAATTTAATTATCTGGTACAAGGAACCAAAGATGTTATCATTGGGTCATTGGAGACAAAAAGTTTTAAACATCTTACTTTAAGATCAAATACTGAAGTGTTTTTGTGTATATTTTCTTTACAACTTTTGTTATATTTATATAACATTACTACTCTCTTAGTTATTTCACACTTCACCATCACTTCCTCAGTTTTTTCATTCTGTATCATAATTTTCCACTGTTGTTCATATGGAAGAAGACAATATCTTCAAAAAATAATTAACGGTTATCCTCAAATTAATAAATTTTAGGCTTATGGATAATCACTGAACAAAATTTTTCTTTTCAATATGCTATCCAATCATGCCAATTTCTAATGCATATGTGGCTATCTAGAAAAAAATATGCACATTTAAGCTTTGTCTCTTTTTTTCCCGTGAAAAGCTCAGATTTTTTGTTTCTCTCTACAATAGAGTGGTTAGTTCTAAAATAGAGTTGCCTAAGAACAGGCTGAGAATTATAAGCACTAAAACCATTTTTAAAAATCTGATCAACCAATAGAAAATTCAAAGAAATACTTGAGTCTGTGAGATCAACACATTTCTGTTATTTCCTCAGGGGCTATCATACAACTTGACACCAACATTTAAGCTTTGAAAATTATGCTATCATCTATTACACTTTGGATGTCACATGTCCTCAAGCCTTTTCGATTTCTTATAGTACAAGACAGGGTTAGGCCATTAAAAATAATCTCTTCTGTTATTTATAATTGCTAAGATGCTTCTTCCTTTTCTTTTTCAGAATGAAAAACAAATTTTGGTATTTTGAATTCGGCACATCTGAAACTTTCTCAGCTACCTGCAAAAAGCTTCATGAATCTGTAGAAATAGAAGTAAGAAAAATGGATTCTCTTTTGTAATACTATGAAATTGTTTGAATTTGGTTGTTAATATGTTGTGATGTTGCCAATGGAATAAAATATACTTTGAGCAATCTAAGTAGATTTACTGAAGATTTTAAAATGCAATTTCTTACACTTATTGGGAATGTAGCAATAATCTAAAATGCCAGTATAAAGTTAAATGTAGACATGAGTTGTTTTAATGTAATATAAAAGAAGGAGAAGTGGAACACAACTTTGGAAATCAATGAAGAAGTTATTGGGCATAGTGTGAATAGAAAGATGTAAGATAAAAGATAGTAGTTGAAGAAAAAGGAAAAAAGTTGCAAGGTACATAAAAAACGTATTATTTTCAGGTCTCAAATCTTATAACCTTTAAAACACAGTTCATAAAATTGTACTTACTTTCATGAGTAAAGGTTAAAAAATATACTTTTCCTTTCCATTCCCATTCATTAACTAGGTTTTCTCAGTTTCCAAGGTTGCCATTTCCCCATTACATTTATAGGAAGTGGAAATGCCAAGAAAGAGAGCAAAGATAGCAAGAAAAGACACACTTTAAAAAGACTTGGATCAAATAGGTCTATCAAAAAATATATAGACACTGTAAGACTTAAAATTTTGGAGACACATTAGGAAAGAAAATGACTTAGTTATACGGAGAAATTTTAGAGGTAAAGAAAAGGGAAAAGTTATATTTTGATAAATGGTTAAGACAAAACCAAAATCATGAAATGTGAACATTTAATGACTAGCTGATATGATTGAGAAATATTGGCTTCAACACTTTTTATTTAAAAATAAATGCATAATTGTCTACTGACAATTAAATCATTAGTGGCTTGTATTCAGCTAATAAGTTTGGTAAACAGAAGTAGTTATGGACCACATAGGATCATAATGGCTTGGCTAGGTTCTTTGTTATTATAACTTTCTAATTTGCTGTTATTGATAATAATACCAAAAATGATACCACTGTCAATGTAACCTTTTTGCATTTTTTTCTCACCATGATTCCTAAATAAGATTAAGTATTAGAAGTAGAATTGATGGTCAGGGAATGAGGAAAATCCCTTCATAATCAGATTAGATCATAGCCTTGAAAAGAAATAAGGTCACAAAAGGTGAAAGATTTGGTCTCACCATGGACTTTCTGTGATTACTATTAACAATGATATATATGTGTGTGTGTGCGTGTGTGTGTGTGTGTGTGTGTATGTATATATAACTATATTTGACATATATAATTATATACCTATACCCTGGTATATCTATAACAATATATGTGTTATATACTGTTATAGATATGTGAGGGTACTTCAAAAAGTTTATGGAAACATAGAATTTAAAGGTAACACCAATATTTCCTTGAACTTTTTGAAGTACCCTCATGTATGTATACACATGCACACACACACACACACACACAGAAATTTGTCACTTAATGATGGGGATACATTCTGAAAAATGTGTCATTAAGCAATTTCATCATTGTGCAGGTATCATAGAGTGCACTTACACAAACCTAGATGGTATATAGTCTACTACATACCTAGGCTATATGGTGTAGCCATTATAATCTTATGGGACCACCTTCATATATGCAGTCCATTGTTGACCAAAATGAAGTGCAGTGCATGACTATATATTTACCAAAAAAAAAAAAAAAAGCCTGCAATGTCCTTTTACTTTCAAAAAAATGTTTTTTGTTTTTTTTTTTTAAATAAAAGCTGCCTTCTATAGTGGATTTTGAGCTTTTTTTTTTACTTTAAGAAACCTATGCTCAAAGAAAATCTGAAGAAAAAGCAAAAAAAAAAAAAAAAAGTAAGAAGTATGGTTTTGGTTTAATGTTGGTGTAGGCCCTGAATCCTCCTGCATCTCTCCTCGCCTTATCCTACTGCTGAGTACAGATTAAAAAACCATTGATCTATGCAGTAATATTATATATGTCACAAAGTAAAACATGTTCAAGAAAATTGTTGTTTTACATAGCAAAATACATTTAAATGAAAATAAACGTGGAAAACATTGATTTTTAAAGTTCTAAATAATGATAAAATTGAGTGGTTCTGTTCCACGGAACTTCACGTTATAGAAAGTATTTAGAATGTTCCTCAAGAAATCTGGCCAATTCGAACTAAGTTATTTTTCTTAAAGTTGTGTTTCTGCTTGTTCTACAAGTCTGGCTTTCTAGCCCTGCATCACTGGATTATTCTGGGAACCACTGCAACAGCATTTGTAAATCGGAATCAGTGCTGTGTGCACTCCCCATTGTCTCGTGTGTGTGTGCACATGTGCATGCATGTGTGTGTGTGTGTGTGTGTGTGTGTGTGTGTGTGTACAGAAGGCAATGCAAAATCTGCCTCTGCTTGCTTTTTAATGAATCCAGTCTATCATATTAACAGAATATGCCTTTCTACCCTCAAGGTTATTTCATAATTAAATATAACAAAAACAGTAATTCGGAAATTTGATTCTGTTTGCTGTTGCTTCCTATTTGGCCTAAAATTATACCAACTATGGTTTGAAAAATATATAACAGAGAATAAACCTTTTCAGTAACAGCAGAACCTCAAGCAATGGATATATGTTTTATTGGCAGCTTCTTCAAAAACAAACCATTTTCTTTGTTTCTTTTTATTTCACATCTCTCTCATGTAGAGAGCTCCTTCCAATGAAGGCAAATATTTGGGATGATATGAATATCATGGGATAACAGTTGATAGTAGTAATAGCTAAGATTTATCTGTTATTAATTCTGTCTCATGTTTGGTGCTAAGCAATGCACATAGATTATCTGAGTTAGTCTTCATCAAAACCTTATGAATTAGGGAGATACTATTATATCTCCAATGAAGAGATGACTGTTTTCTTTAATAATTAAGACAACTAAGAATTACATTACTGGCAAAATGTTTAAAGCCAAAGAAAGAAATCAACTGGTAATATATGTGTATTTGTATATATTTATACATGTAGATGTGTGTACACATATAAATATAAATATGTATGTACACACATATACATGGAGAAAGAGAGAGCAATTGATTCACAAGGTAGAACATTTAAATTTAAAGATATTCAGTTATCTTCTATCTTTATTACAAAAGATAAAGACAAAATAAAATGAACTACTTTAAAATTAGAAGAAAATATTTTAAATGCAAAGTTTGTATTAAAATATTTGAGGGGGTAGTGTATGTGTGTCTAGGAATCTCAGATCAGCATCTGGCATTGAAGCTATGAAGATCATAAATTTTATTTTGCTCCATGCACCAGCCAAAATTAATGAGAGAATAAGAAAGACTATTCTCAAGGAATTTCAGTCTTTGGTTGTCAGTGAGACTGGGAAGTATGGTAAATTTTAAAGCTAAGAATTTCCATCCCCAAGTACTGAGATGTGTCTTAACAATTAAGTACTTCTGTAAACCTAAATGATTTCAAGAATTAACGAACAGCATAAGTAGTATCAGGGACACAAAATAAATTAGCAGGATTCCAGAGACAAGATTGCCTAGTAACTTGGGAAACACAGAGTTCTTAAAGGCAATAGGGCAGATTTTCCCAGCTTAGTCCCTGCCTCACCTGTCCTAATATTAAAATTATGTATAAAGTAATGTTTTATGTTTCACTGAGTAAAACTATGGATAAATTTTATCTGATGTAGGCACAAAATCAGAATCCATATGGGAAAAAATGTGCAGTTTATCATTAATTGTATCACATCATGCTTACTACCTACATGTACAGCTCTCCAAAGTTCTTCACATGGTTTGAATATTCTAGCAAATGACATGCTAACTGGTTCTGAAACTCTAAATTCATATATGAAAGTTTGTCTTTAACACCTCTGTATGATACGGCTATGGCACATTCATAAACTAGAATTAAAATACATTGGCAGAAAAATTTAAACCATCTTCTTTCCTTTCAGGTAAATTTTTCTCTGAAAAAAGATCTTCCATTTTAAAACTGAAAAGAGCGTACAAGGGCATCACAGCATTTCACTCTATAAATAGCTCCCGTAGTACTACACGTTAACGATTTTTTTCTACGTAATAAAAATATTCAGGATTTATTGACTGAGACTGTTAGCTTTTAAGGTTTTATATTCTTTTCCTCTGTAGCTACCTTTATAAAAATCATAAATCTTCAAAGCTTATGAAAATATGATCCGACACAGTACTATAGCTTGTTTATATTTCATAGCCTTCACCTCAGCTTTTATTTTCATGCACTCAACTGGTGTGCTACAATTACTGGTCTCCATCAGAACTAGCACTGAGACTTTCCAGACTAATGAGCATAATGGTAAAACAAACAGAGGAAGGTAGCCTGGGGTCAAGAACTGGTGGAAACAAATCATTAATAAATAGCAATTTATTTAAGTACATTGTCTTGCTTTCAATGGAACATCAGTGTTCATCAGTCCTGGTTCTTTGGGACTCCTTGAGAAATTTGTTTTCACTTCTCAGAGAGCTACTTACTCTGTTTCCTTAAAACCACACAGGACAAAACTCTGAAGAGTGGAGACATGAATAATAGTACACCCAGATGTTTTTCAACTGTCACAAGCGACTCTGCTAGTTCATTTAAAAAAAAAAAAAAAAAGCCTACTTGCAACATGCTCTCCTTTTCTGCAGATGAACAAAGGAATCCTCCTTCACTAATTCTGAAAGTAACTTGTCACAGTGGGGTTCTAAGGCCTAGTCAAATAATTGTCTTAGTGTACTACCTGCTGTGTTCAATATTGAGTGAAAATGGAAGCTGGGCCCCGACTCCAGCTTATTTCACGATTCCTCTGTTATTTAAATGATTTTAGTTAGTTTGGGGGAAGCCAGACCTTTATAAATTAACAGCAGGGAAATACCAAAGGTGTCAGATTGCATATTTATCATCTTTTTCGTGTAATACTTAAATATGTATTAAGAAGTGACTGACATAAATTAGGCAGATTTCAGAAGCCACAGGCCGTGGCTTGTAGAGGACCCCCTCGGCTTGACATTTCATCCTTGTCAAAGATCAAATTATTTTAATTTAGGTTGCAAATTATAAGGAATGAAGACTTCTTTGTGGGAATTCCCTGTGGTAATCTGACTTTTGTTGTTACTGCTGCTTGTCAGTGTGCAAAAGATATAATATGCATGCAAATAAGGTTAAAAAATATGTACTATCTAATTATCCAGCCAGTACATTCCACTTGAAGACAGTGGGAGGCCTGACACACAGTATGTGTTTGATTCATTGAGGCCTGCAGGGTATTTACACAAGATTACTTTTAATTATGAAATTAATATCTGTTTATCTAGAATATATAGTGGTAAGTGAGCATACACATGAGCAGAATTCTTTACTAAAAAGGAATCATCTTAATTTAATATACGAAAAGGAGGAAAAATCACTTGTTTCTGGAAAAAAAAAAAAAAAGAGGCATTATCCAGACCCCAGTTTCACCCTCCTTGAAACAAATTGAATGAAAACCTGGCACTTTCTCTAGAATTTGTTTCTGCCCCTGCCAAATAGGCTCAATATGTGTTGCTTTATTTCACAGTTTTTATTTTTCTGGTGAACAAGATGCAATCCTAGATTCAGTATGATGAAGCCAATGTGAAAAAAGAGGGTTTTTTTTGTTTTTTGTGTTTCTTTCTTTTTTTAAAAAAATCATTTTGGTAGAGTATTGCATCTTCTAAGTCCAAAAATCATGATTGCCCGAAGAAAAGGTAAAGTTAGTATAAATGATTTTCTGTAATAAGACATAAATGAAACAATGCCACTCCAGATATACAAGGGGACTTCAAAAAGTTCATGGAAAGATTCGTATTATCTTTTAATTCTATTTTTCCATGAGCTTTTCTAACCCTCATAGTTCAGTTGAAAAAAATGCATATCCCTAATAAAGTTCTTTAAAAAACAAAGTGTTACATGCTTATATCTCTTCTCATATTAATTTATAATTAAAGATGGAACAACAATTTCTGGGATATATTTATAAATAAGTACCACTTCAAAAAATTCAAAGCATGTAAATAAATAGTAATTCAAAAAATACAGAATAGCCTTGCCACTCTCCATACATGTCCATCAGCAGAAATAAAAAGAAGATTCAAAAGATTAAAAAGTGACCACTCTGAATATAGCAAAGCATTGTCTGTTAACAGTCCACATTTTTTATATAATCAAAGGGGCGTTTTGTCACCAAAAAAAAATGGGGCGGATTAATACTGTTACAGCAGCTATAAAGTAACATTGGGTTAGAGATTCCTTTTACTGTGACGCTTGACACTTGTCTCACTCAACTTGCCTGGTCCTCTGTATTTGTTTGGGACAACTGTGCCTCTTATGGCCTTTGGCATCCTGCCCAGAACTTAATCTAGTCCAAGAAGCCATCCTCAGTCATTCCAATGTGATTGATATCTCTTTGAATTGCCGTTTTATACTTAACTTTTATTTATTTATTTTTTTTTGTCTTTTTGTCTTTTTCCATGTCCGGCAACGGATCGCAACCCTCAGTGTTGCCCCCATACCGGACCGGGGACCGGCAACGGGATTGCAACCCTCGGTGTTGCTCCCGCGCCTCGCTCAGCCAGTGAGCGGGAACCGGTCTGTATGTGGGATCCGAACCCTCGGGCGGGAGCGCCGCCACGCTTCCCAAGCGGCGCACTTATCCAGTGCGCCACCGGGCCGGCCCTTAACTTTTATTTTTACAGAAGTTTTTTAAGTCACTTCTTTCTCTGCCCAAAAGAATAGGACCATAAATTATTAATTCTATTTCTTTACTTTTCCCCGATAGTGCCTTTCGGTGTGTTCTAAATGGGCATCTGTCATTAAAATTTCTGTCTGAAATTTGACCATACTTCCCAGAATCAACCTCTTTGCAATACTCTGGAAATTTGCTGGTTATATATGCAGACCATAACGTGTCTCTCCCAAAGGTTTTCTATGAACAAAGATCCACTGCTGATTTAATTCGATCATTTTTAAGGACTATTAATGATACCTGGTTAACGTTAGTGGCTGCTTTATCTTTTTTATTGACATTTAGAGTAAGTAAGCATTTACGTGTTCTTGAAAGGCTTATTTAGAAATGACAAGATTATGAATTTAAAAGCTCTAATTAAAAGATAAGGAAATGAAAAAGAAATAACATATCTTACTATTTCTGTTCTTTTTTTTTTGCTGAAAAGTGTGATGGAGTACAGATAGATTTAATAAATATCTCTCTGGAAGGAATTGCTATTTTGAATATACCAAGCATGCACGGAGGATCCAATCTTTGGGGAGAGTCTAAGAAAAGACGAAGCCATCGACGAATAGAGAAAAAAGGGTCTGACAAAAGGACCACGCTCACCGATGCCAAAGAGTTGAAGTTTGCAAGTCAGGGTAAGTTTTCTTATAATTAATTGTTAAATTGCTTATCAATCTGCTTTCAAAGACTACCTTAAAATGAAAGACTTTTCCATCAAACTATATTAATGTATATATTACGCAGTTGTATTTGTCACATTATCAGATAGCCATGTGTGATTAAATTACTATATCATAATAGATTGTAAAGTCATGTATAAACTGGCTATATTTTTCATGATTTTTTTTCCTTTATTCTCCTTCCTTGCATATAGTTCTTCCTACAAAAAAATAAAGTGCATGTTGGACATTTAGTGGATAATAATATAGGATATATTGTATGTTAAGCTCTTCTGGAATGTGATCATCTTGGTCAGGATGTTTGAGTTGCTCTAACGAGGGCCTAGTTCAGGCTTTTCTAAGGTCATGTTATAAGAGATGTTGTTTTGTCTTTCTTCAGTCAGGCTATGAAACTTAAGTCCTCTTACATTTAACTATTGTTCTAAGTACCTATATATAGTACAATGTTTTAATATCCCACAATAAATTTGGTTATCTGCTGCTATTTTTCTGGAAAGTTAATAACAGCAAGGAGTAGACCTGGGCAACAGAGAGCAAAGAACTAACATAATAGGGTTGGATAGCTGCGGAACAGAATTTCCAACTCCATTGTAATTTAGTTAACATTGGGACATGACACTTATTCTTACTGACAGATTTTATAAACAAAGATATCAAAGTGGTGATATTTCTAATAATTGATGATGCCCCAATAATTTATGCATATTATTCTATAATATTTCTTTTACCTTGCATAATTTACCTAATACAAGTGATGACATTTAGAAATTAAGAAAATACATTGTCTCAGCTCAGTGTGGCAAGGACAAAAGATGAAGTTGCAGCCTTAAGTGCCCAGTATAAATAAATAGATTAATGAATGAATGCATAAAATAAATTGTGGAGATGGTTGGAGGGCTTGATGGTGGTAGGCAATACTTTTATGTTTTTGTATCTTTGGGTACATGATTCAAGTTTCAGCAGCATGCAGTGACTTCTTTTATATGAACTTGGGTGCCATGAGGTTGACAAAAATTGATGGAGAAAGTGTTAGGTATCCTCCTGAAAGAAATGCTTATTACAACCTGACAGTGACAGGAGGTTTTCATGCCCCTTAAATCCTGAATAATTGTGTAACTTAGTACGAGCAAGGCTGCAATAAGTCAATTAAAATATATTATACTCAGAATTAAATATAACTATAAAAACATGGAGGAAAATAGTGTTTAGAAGGAGAAATAAATAGAAAAAATGAGAAGTTTGTGCTTTATGAATCAATAATGAGGGGAAATAAATATAATTATTAGCTTCTACAAGATATTGTTATTAATGTTGTATTTGTATTTAAATATAAATTTAATTGTAAGATTAGTAGATTTCAAAGAGTAAATTGCTAAGTTATGAATCAATAATGAGGGGAAATAAATATAATTATTAGCTTCTACAAGATATTGTTATTAATGTTGTATTTGTATTTAAATATAAATTTAATTGTAAGATTAGTAGATTTCAAAGAGTAAATTGCTAAGTGTCGAAATTAGCTTAAGGATCATTCTAAGACCAAACAAAAAAAAAAAAAAAAAAAAAACCTCTTTTTCTTAAATTATATGGACTATATTATTATGTACCATTAAAATGCACCCATTGCTTTCCTCCTTATAAATATTTTATGATACATTTATATATATATATAAAGTACACACACAAAATAATATATACAAAGTAATTTCTAAGTTTATTTTTCTGTTTGGTCACTATATCCCAATATTTGGCATGTCCTTTGCATACACATTCCAGATATTTATTCGAATTGATTCTCAATGGCTCAGCTGCCAACTGCATTCACCCACGGAGCTGCTGAAAGTTTCTAAGACACATGGCTGTGCTCCGCCCAGGCAAATGTCTGTACTCCCTCTCTAGAGCGCTGCAGACATGCTGTTTGCCTGGCCTTACTCATCAACCCCCCATACGCTTTTTTCAGGAATGCACATTTGAAATAAAGCACAGACAAACCAGGCACACGTATTGTCACAAGCTGTCAGTGCCTATAACTGTACAAAAAGCTTCCTCTTCCCTTTTTTCTTCCTGCTTTCTACTGTGGAACTATCGGAACCAAGTCTTTATAAATACTAGGAAAGGAGAAAGTAAGAAGACACAGAATTTGTGACTTAGGAATACATTTTTTTCATTACACAGACAAGGAAAAAACAGAGAAAATTAGAGTTTTTGAAGGTCATTGTAGGAACAGGAACAGAAGCATGTTTATGACTGATTAGGCTCAACTTTTCTACCCTTTTTAAACTGACTATGCTTATAATTTTTGTTTAGTTTTATTTCAGGGTAAGTATAATCTCAGTGCTAAAAATGACCTTTTGAGCTAAATATTTAAAAAAATAGATTCTTATATATTAATTAGTTGTTTCTATTTATTTTGTCAAGTATTTTTTTTCCATTTTGATATATTTTGCAACAGAATAGCCAATATATCTCAAAATGTTTCTAAGTTTTGATTTTATATTCATTCTGTTAATTCTTTAATGTTATATTTAGTAGTTAAAAATGAAATTTAATTTGGAAAAATAGCTACATGTGCCTCGTTCCTAAATAGTAATATTCTATCACTTGATTTTGTTTCAATTTCTTGACACAAACACAGCAATAGTATTAAATTTGAGGGTCTCTCAGTATTTTAAATCTAAACATATTTTCAAATGTACACAAAATTATTACAAGCACTGACTTTTGAATGAAATATGGCAAATATAACTTTAGTCCAACACTTTTTAAATCCATAATCCAATTAATAACTTCCACTGTTAGAAAACATAGGAAAAAAATTAAAAATATAATAATGTTACTTTCTTCTTGTTCGGAAGGCACTTTCTTAAAATATTAACTAAAGACTTTTCTGTTGTACCTCTGTAAGAAATTATAAGAAGTTTCAGGTAAATTTTTACTATATTGGAATGGATACCTGCTTTCATAAACTTTAAAAAGTTTTTTGGGGGGCCGGCCCGGTGGCGCACTGGATAGTGCGCCGCTTGGGAAGCGCGGCGGCGCTCCCGTCCGAGGGTTCGGATCCCACATACAGACCGGCTCCCGCTCACTGGCTGAGCGAGGCGCGGGAGCAACACCGAGGCTTGCGATCCCGTTGCCGGTCCCCGGTCCGGTACGGGGGCAACACTGAGGGTTGCGATCCATTGCCGGACACAGACAAAAGACAAAAAAAAAAAAAAAAGTTTTTTGGAAGGTGAGGGAATGGAGAAAGCATATAACTAAGTTCACGTCATAGAAATAAATTATTTTATTTAATAAAAAAATTGAACTGATGAAAAAAGTTTACCCTTTTTGTTTTAATTTAAAGAAATGTTATATACCAAAGGTACAAGATCAGATTTGGACCATTAAATTCTCATTTATATTAAGCCATACATTACCTGGGACTCCTGCACAATTCATTTGCTTGCAATATTTAAAGATACTCACATAATAAGATCAGAATGTCTTCAATGAATAAATTCATTGGTTGGAAATTTTACTGTTGACTTAATTCAGAGTTGAAGAAAATTGTAAGTAATTCATTTCCTTACATTATGATTTCAGCAAAATATTCTAAAATAGTTGGATACAATTCTGAAACATATTCACACTCACACTCATCTAATTCAGTAGACATTTTCTTTGTGTGTGTGTTTATAAATACAGATGAGTGTATTAGACATAGGCTGCATAGTCTTTAAGCAAAACTGTAAAGTAGGCCAGGTTGGTCTTCAGTGCTCCTAGCCTTAATATTCAATCTTTCCCATGTCTTTCAGTTGCTGGGTTCATCTTTGCCTCCCCCTCTTATGAATTAACCTCAGAAAGATGTCTAATAAATTTATTCACATTAACGTATAAATGACTGACTACAGATGAAAGTAGAGGTATTTGCATATTAAAAGATATAATGGCCTTCAGCTAAACATTATTTTTCAAACTGTGTTCCATTGAGTTATAACTGCAATTTTTCAGCAGTTCTGCAAAAACTAGGTTCAAATTAACTGCCATATTTTGGAACAATAGAGAAGTCTATAATAAAAATACACTGAGCTGTGTTCTATAAAAACACAATTTTTTTTTGAGAATAAAGTTTCTCAAAGCATTAACTTGTGTTTCCAGACAAAAACAACTTCCTCTCTTCCTCCTCTTTCTCCTCTTCTTTTTTCTCTGTAGTTAGATAAGTAGATAGACAAATAGATATACATATCCACACATACACATTTATATACATGTACACATATAAATAAATAAAATACATAGTTCTGCAATGGTCATTTGAAAAAAAAAAGCCTTTGCATATTTAATGAGGACACTTGTACTAATGGGCACATTACCACCACAGTGCATGTTAACCACATGCAATTAAAAGGGTAGCAAACTCAGATACTTTTGTTTGACATCAGCACCAAACAGTGCATACCAATCAGTAGGAGTGAAAATGAGGTGGCAATACCAATATTTTAAATAAAAATGGAGATCACTTTTTAGAAAGTGTTTTTGCTCATAAAGAAACTGCATTCTTTATGAGAAATTTGCTCATAAGGAACAGTTAACTAGCTCCTACCAAGAAGAGGCTTATATATCAAGCACATTTTTATCAGAGAAGGTGTAGGATTTAAACCTGATCACAACTGCAGCTAAGGAGCCAGCAGTGAAATTTCAGTTATGAATGCAAATAAAAGTAAATATGACAAATCGACACTGAAAATCTGAACCAGACAGCAAGTAACAGTTACACTTCTCTCTGTGTAACAGAGATGCAAAAAAGGTTTACTCAAAGCAACATGAATGCAATGAGAAGCCGGAAGCGACTGCACCTCGACAACTCTTCTGTTAGAAGGAGAAAACTGGGTATAGCCCTGATTCAAAGTTACCTTCTGTTTTTTATCGTAAAGACAAGGAAGTTTCACAAGAAAAATCAGTTGATTCAATCATTT